GCATGGCTGAGCTGAGCTGCAATAACTCCTCTAACTCAGCTCCTGCCCTTTCACAGGGGAGGTTTCAACTGTGACACTCTGGGGCACTTTGCAAATGCCTAGGGAGCAAAAAAAGAGAATGCAGAGTGCATGGAGATCACTCTCAGCATCTGCATATTCAGGGTTTGACCCCAGGTCCAAGGCAGGGTTTCTTGTTTAATTGCATTTCACTTCTGGACAATAACCTCAGTGTGACAGGAAGCAGATTTCGAGTCAGGAAATTTCACACTAACCCCAAGTACATTTATGTCATCAGGAGCTGCAGTTTGACACTATCAAGTGTCTCCCTGAGCCATGAATTAGGCATTCTGAAACACTGAATGGAGAGAGGGAAGCTGATCTCAGATTTTTGTTTCTTTTTTGAAGTATCCATTACCACAGTGTGCAGAGCATCCATTCTGTTTATGGGATTGATAGATTTGAATAGTGGAAATATTTACCAGAACATGCAAAATGGACATATAGAAAGTTATATATTGAAGGCCAGAGGCAAACATTAATTCCTTCTCTGTGCCTGAAAGTGTCCATTTGTTGGTTTAAATGGATTCTACCATGTCCTCTATACTTTTAGAAATTCTTTGAATAAAACCCTTTGAAAAGCAACCAGGATGGAATAAGGTAGATAGAGAACAATACAGATATATTTCTTATCAGTCATTGCTGCTGTCTCTTCTTCATAAAAAAACAGCAGAAAATAGAAAGTTTTCTGTATAAAGGACATGGCTTAAGAGAAAAAAACAATATCTGCTTAAGATTTGCATATTGGCCTCCTCACATCCCTTTTCCTCAGACTGCTGTGTAGCCATTAAGTGACCCTTTCTTTGTGTGATGCTGGTGAGAAATGGGCTATTTCTTAAGGAAAAAAACCTCCTTTTCACTGACCATATCAAAATATACACTTTGTAAGCAGATTTGTTTTCAAATGAGGTATTAATAATCCTTCCTTGGTGTAACTCCTTGGTACTGAGAGGTTGATAACTGGCCTGCTTATGCCATCTCCTGGGTAATTACAGAACTGTCTCCACACAGGCACAGCCTCTATTGAGCAGCATTAATAATTATCAGTGCCTTGAAATAATTTGCTAATTGAATCCCTGAAGCAATTTTTTTCTTATGTCATAGAATTTAGAACAATTCAAAACTACAGGATTATTAATAACATATCATATTCAACTGTTATAAAAATCAGTAGATTATACCAAAAAGATCTTTGTGACTGCAGCCCCTACAATACTGATCTATTTAGTTAAGTTCTGTTTAATAAAAAATTACTTTTTTGTACTGATATTTTGCTAATGGGAGCTCCATTTGCTCAAAAGATTGGGATTTAATCTTTTGGGGATGATCAGAAAGAAGGAACAGATGTTAGCTGTGTCACAAAATATTTTACTGGAGATAATGGTGCTGTGGGACTCCCCCTCTCTGAAGCAATCAGCACAAGAACCTACAAAGAACAGATGATGTTGTATGAGCTCCTGGAAATTTCAGCTTTGCTGTTCTGTTCATTCATTCCATCCTGCCAAGTCTCATATTCGTGAATTACACCTGTCTAGGGGACAGGGGAAAGGGCTGAAGGGCCTTCACTGTCCTCTGGAACCTCATTTTGCTTCATTTTCCATAGAATTAAATGGTTTTGTTGCAAACTGGGTTTGCCTGCAGCATCCTCAGTGGGAGAGGTGGCACAGGCAGAGCAGAGAAAATGGTGGGATTTGTCCTTCAGGGTAAAAAATACTTTGTGAATTTGAGTTTCAGTTCACACCTCACAGAGTAACTGGGAATAGCTGATTCCTACAAGTGTTAAGGAAAACAAAGTGGGCATCTGAAATACTAAATATTCCCATTTTTCCAGGGAAAAATGTTTTTTGAGAAATGTTTTTTGAGAAATGTCCAGTGCCTAAGACAGTTCACACCTCACAGAGTAACTGGGAATAGCTGATTCCTACAAGTGTTAAGGAAAACAAAGTGGGCATCTGAAATATCAAATATTCACATTTTTCCAGTGTCTTTTGTTTTTTGAGAAGTGTCCAGTCCCTAAGGATTGTGCATTCAGCATAGAATTTAGTAATTACAGTAGGTATTGAGAGTTCTGTAATTCCAGGCACCAAGGAGGGGTCCTGGGCAGGCCCAGGCCAATGAGCCACATTTCTCTAACAGCAGCAGATGTTTCCATTGTGAAGGCTTCTCACCACTTTTGTAAAGTATGGAATAATGGGAGTGCAAAGAGCAGAAGCAGCACAAGGAAGGGATGGATGTTCTGCACCTGCTCGACTGTGCTTTGCATGTGCCTTCCCTCAATTTTCCCCAAGCACCAGTTTTCTGTCCAAGTGCTATTACAGGCTGAAGAGGAAAGCCATTGGAATGGTAGAAATCTCTCATTGTTCTCAGTTGTCAGCATCAGCACATGTTAAAAAAGGAAAAACCTGTTTCCAGTTTCTTTGAGGGTGATCATGGCCTTTGGACTCAGTTGGGAAACTTTGCCACTACCACACGTGCTATGATGTCTGTTCAGAAAACCTTGAGAGAAGCCTCCACCTTGGTCTGTGGGGTTTTTTTAAACACTAATCCAACACTCTGCTACTAAGTGTTTAATTATTAGGCTTGTGAAATACAACAACACCTAAGGCATTAATAGAAGGAACTAATTATAACCCTCTCAGCATGTGGTTTCCCCTTCACTTATAAAATCTCTTGTCATTTATCTGTCCTTTGAGTGACTTCTTGTAAAACCTTAATCAGGACAAATGGATCTTTCAGAGGGAAGAAAATGACCCCAAACTGGCACAGGAAGAATTGATTAAAACTCATAGTCCTTCTGTGGCAGCCCAAAGATCCCAGGGGATCCCATTGCTCAGCAGAGTGGAGGAAACAGCAGACAGGGAAGAGCTTTCTGTCTGACACAAAAAGACTTTATCACTGACGTGCTGACATCCCCTTTCTGTAGGACCAGCCTGTGATCAGTGTCTCTTGATTCCTTTAAAACTCAGCTTCAGAACTTTGGTTCCAGCCTGATTAATTTCCCCTTTACTGATTGTGTGTCATTTGCTTTTAAGTAAGATCTTTATAAACGAGGCAAAACAAAGACAGAGATGAAGATTGTGCAGAGATAAACATTTGTGCTGCTGGGACTCCCACTGGCTTGGGCACAGCAGGGGCCAGAAGTAATGGGGGTTCACAGGAGTCCTGATTAAACCTCTCACTGTGAACAGGTAATTGAAACACTACAGCAGTGGGAAAACAGCAAGCCATGGAGGTACTTAGTTTAAAGCAGACCCTGAAGGAGCCAGAGGCTTCACACACTCCCTGTGGCAGCAGGCATGAGCCAAGCCTGGGCTGGGGCCGTGGATAACACACAGAGAGCACTCTGGGCTCATCCTGTGGGCTCTGCTCGAGTTCTCTGCCTGGCTTGGGGATAGAAAGCACGAGCAGAGGGACCTTGGGAAGAAACGTGGCACCTGCCTGTGCTAAAGGTGAAATGCACAGCCCAGGTTTGCTGTGGGCACTGCAGGGATGGTGTGGGTCCAGCAGGGACAGAGCATCCTCCAGGAGAACCTCTGAAGGCTCCCTCAGTGATGGGACACTGATGGCTCTCCCTCACCCCTGGAGACAGGGCAGCAGAGCCGTGAGAGCCAGACTGGGGCAGCTTGGGGTGTCATGGCAATACTCACTGTGAGGTGTGGCACAAGTGAACCCTCTGTCTCCAGCTCTTCCCTCTTGGTTTGTCTCCTGGAGTTGCCTCCTGTGGTTGAGAGCCATTCACTGAGCCTGCAATAGTGCCTTAAAAGTGTGATGCAGGGGAGAAAAGTGCTGGTTTATGCCTCATTTTCACTTCTTAGTAACCATTGCTCCTCATGAAAGCCTCTAAATAAACCTTTTTGATTATAATAATTTGTTAGTGAACTGTTCCTCATCAGCCTGGGCCTCCTTTCTGCCAAACTCCTCTAAAAACTTACTGGCGTCTCAAGCAGAAGTTTCTGGGTTTTGAAACAATGGGAGATTAAAAATCTAATTCAGGTTTCCTTCACTCCCCATTGGGAAAAAATGTCAACTCAAACCTAATGCACAGATGGAGAAAAGAAGTAATTGTCATATGGAGCTGCCACACGTACCTACAACCCAGAGTCAGTGCTGGAGTTTTACTGTGTTCCAGATTTCCCCAGTTGATGTGTGACAGATTTCCTGTCCCTGTGTTGGCAACAGGATTTATAACAGCTTTCAGCAGTTTGAGTGGTTATTTGGGTGTTTGTACCATGTTTTGTCATTCCTCCATAAAAGTATGCAGTGATCATTAACAGGAGTTCAAGTGTCACATCACCAAATTGCTGACTGCAAATGCTTAGGGGGAAAAAACAGGAATATTTTTGGCCAGGTAGTTGCATAAATGACTGGGCTTGGTGGGAATTATGGCTATAATGATACTTCAGTTATTTCCGTGACAAAAGGAAATTTTGAACATCTAGATCCATTCTACAGGTCTCTTTTTAATTACAGGAGCTGACTTAGTATTGCTGTGCCTCTGTCCCTTAGCTGTAAAATGAAGGTTTTAATTATTTGCTGCTTCCATCACTGTTTGTTCCCAGAGATTTTGTGCTGGTTTGATGTGACCACAGCAGAGCACATTTCCCTCAGGTCTGCCCAAAAGGAATGGGCTAAAAGCTGCTGCAAAGGCCAGCATTGATGAAAGGCAAGATACTTTTGCAGCACCATTGAAAAGTGCCACTCCTTAGTTTGCCACAGCTCCGTGTGACTGTGCTCAGCTGAGCAGTTCCTTCAGCCTAAATTTCTGCTTTTAAAGTGTAAACTTTGCATCTTTATCTCACAATGGTGTTGGGAAGCTGAGTTAGCTTAGTGTGCGCAACTCTTCAAATCCCTGAAGAAGCTGAAACACTGAATGCTACCACCATGTGTGGGCACAGGCTGTGCAATTGTGAGAACCTCCAGGAAACATTCTCATTTCCCAAGAAATGAAGTTTTATTGAAACAGGTTTTTGTCCCATGCAAGAGAGAACTTTGCAAACATTAGCAAACATGGGGCTGATCACATCTCAGGTTTGGGTGACTGCAGGCACAGTGTGCTCCAACCCCATGACCAATGAACACACAGAACACTTCCATAATTATTTTCAGCCTTGCCTAATTTTTAGAAGAAACAGCAAAGCACAGCATAACTCTAATCTTACCAATATGGTTATTATCATCTGCAATAAAAATGTCACCTCAGGTATTAGCAGCGCTGCTAAATCACTGGCCTGACTTGAAGTCTTCCATCTGGAGTTGTAAGTTAAGGACAGTTTATCACAGGAGTGATTTATTGTGTAAACAGATCTTGCTGCTGGCATTTAGGAGAACGTGGCTGCCTGCCACTCAGCCAAATTCTTTTATCACACTTGACTGAAGTTTCCAGCCTTGAATTATTAGTTAATAATATCCGAGCGAAAGCATAATTTATTGTTTGAGTAAACTTTGAAACATAAAAACAGTGTCTTAGCTCCCAGACTTAGTGCTTGCCTTAGGCAAAGCATTTTTCTTTCAGCACAAAATTGTAATAGAACAGGAGAAAGATTTGTAACTAATTCCAACACTTCCTGCATGTATAATTTACCTAATGGCAGAACACAATCTCCTGAGCTGTTCTTCCCTCATTTCTGAATTGTAAGACCAGCAGCCTTCATGAGCAGAGGTCAATCACACACAGTCAGACATATCCAAACCTCAAAATTTAAAAGCAACACATCTGTGGTTTCCTGATAGGGAAATTTGATACCATCCCTCTTTTATCATTTCTGTTATATCAGTAGGGCTTGAGGAAACCCACGAGTTTCCCCCTCAGAGGCACTTGTGGCTAATTTAGAGCAAGAAGTTCTCTCATTGAAAGGAATAACCTTGTCTGACAACAATTCCTTACCATTTAGGGCATTATTTACAGCAGTGCCTTGACACCAACAGCCAGCAGATGCCAGCACACACACGAGCACTAAAAGTGCCTCTTTCATGCTAAAGGAGGGATGGTGCATGTGAGAAACAAACCCCTCTCCTCAAAACTTTAAGAGTTTAATACAGGATAATAAAGGACAGATCAATAAAGCAAAAGTAACAGTTCTGGGTGCATGGCAACAGCCAGAGGCACCCCCAACTCTTTAGCAAGCAGTCCCTCATACTGTTGAATTGCATTACTTCCCCAAATGACTGCACTTTTTCAGAGCCCGTTTACCACAGCTCTGCCTCAGGTTGCCACAGCATTGCCTAAGTCACAGCCACAGCCTGGCAGGGTCCAGCAGGGAGGCACTCCAGAGTGGGCTTCTGATGCCACTTCAGACTTGGTTTGCTGCTTTTATGGCATTTTGTTCTCTGCCTGGGCTGTCGTGGACTTCTGCCTTGTGAAGGCTGACCTAGAGCAGAGGGTAGACAGAGTTAAAGTAAGGATTTATTAGAAGGCCTCAGTGGATCCACCTTGGGCAGCACAAGAGCCCAGCCAGGGCTGCACCCAAGAGGAACCAAAATGGTCCCAAAATGCACGAGCACTCCCGGGGTCTCTCCCTGGGATCAGTTCTGCTCCATGTGCAGACTGCAGTTCATTGTCCAGTTCCAGCTGCAGCCCCTGCAGTCCCATCCTGCTTGTTTTTCTCTCTCCAGCCCACGTTGTTTGTGCTCTGGGGCTGAGATTTGGATCATTTGTCCTTGGTTCCCAGCTGGAGAAGGAATTGTTTTGTCTCCCTACTCTGTGAACAGAGCTCACCATCCCTTACCATGAATCCCAGAACGATGCACTAAAGCAGCACAGAATCTGAAAATATAAAAGTTAAAACATGAGGCATCAATACCTTTTGCAAGAGCAGTCATGTCTTGTGATCAATTTTTTGCAAGCCCTGTGATAGCCTTGCTTCATGCACAATTTTAGTTACACTGTTCACAAAAGCAATTACAATTAGCACTGTATCTACAAAAGCAGTTACAATTTATAATAATTTGCAAATGAAAATCTGTAATAGTGAAAGCCAACTGTTCCATAGCAGATTGTAACAGTGTAGAGCTGTCCCAAGTGTGTGAACCCAGTGAAGTAAACTTTCTCTTCAATGTTTCACTGTCATGTATAAAAGATATAAAATATGAATTGTACTAAACTTAATCTTGAATTTAAAGAGGCTACTTGTTGGAGGACTATACACTGCTCTAGCAGGTAACTGCCTTCTGTCTTCAAAACTGACTTATTTTCATATGGAACTCAGCCTGGAATTTCAAGTCTAGTTTTATCTAGGATATTTTTCCTTTGCATACTGAATTGAGGATCCTTAATATCAGATCTTCTATTTGTGTCAGTGTCAAAATCCCTCCACCACCTCTGCACAGTGGAACCTCGAGACATGCCAGGATTTTGGCTGCCCACGTGAAACATTGCAGGGAGGCAGAATGAAAGGCCAGGTGCTCATGCTGCAAACACTGCAATCCCTTCAAGCACAGATGGTCCTTTTTGCTGAAATTGTCACTGCTCCTGCCAAAAGCCTTTGCAGCACCATAGTCACATCTTTCTGACATTAACTGAGTGATGGAGATCACTTCTGACAGACCTCTTCCAGTGCAGAAAACACTGGTCTCAGAGTGTTCAAAAAATCATCAGGAAAGTCCTCACTGCCAATGGCGATGGAGCAGGGGGAGTTTCTGGGCTCTACCTCCTTCCTCAGTGTATCTGCAAGGTTCACAGGTGTCCCATAATCTTCCAGTGTGCTTTGGGAAGAGACTTTCTAAAGAAAGGAAGAAACGATGCAAATCAGCACAAAGGCTCCTACTGCCTTTTGGCTGAAAACCCCAGACAAAAGCAGTTTAATTAGCAGATATGCCCTTTTAGCAGTTTATTAGCAGTTAATTAGCAGTTATGACCTTTGTTTTGGCAGTCATGCCTGCTACCTGGAACACAAGTGAGTTGAGCTCACCCAGCTTAGCTGATGTTGAATCTCACAATATGACAGGCCTTGTGACACCCTGCACACTCAGCTTATTTTACCTAGAGTCCGGTCCAATTTGCCAAGTCCATTCCAGATTCCAGCTGAAATCCATTCCGGGTTTTCCCTTTTGCCGACTCCATTCCAGACTCCGGCCGGAATCCAGTCCAGGTTTTCGCTTGTGCCGACTCCATTCCAGACTCCAGCTGGAATCCAGTCCAGGTTGTTGCTTGTGCCAACTCCATTCCAGACTCTGGCTGGAATCCAGTCCAGGTTTTCCCTTTGCCGACTCCATTCCAGACTCCAGCTGGAATCCAGTCCAGGTTTTCCCTTTGCCGACTCCATTCCAGACTCCAGCTGGAATCCAGTCCAGGTTTTCCCTTTTGCCAAGTCCATTCCAGACTCAGGCCAGAATCCAGTCCAGGTTTTCCCTTTGCCGACTCCATTCCAGACTCCAGCTGTAATCCAGTCCAGGTTTTCCCTTTGCCGACTCCATTCCAGACTCCAGCTGTAATCCCGTCCAGGTTTTCCCTTTGCCGACTCCATTCCAGACTCCAGCTGTAATCCAGTCCAGGTTTTCCCTTTGCCGACTCCATTCCAGACTCCAGCTGGAATCCAGTCCAGGATTCCCCACACCCTGAGTCCCGGATGGAATTGCCCGAAGATGAAGGAAAATTCCGTATTTTTCTGGCTTCCCTTGGCCAGCAGGAGCCGGGGTGTGCTGAGCCGCCCCCTCCACCCAACACTGCAATACTGCAATTCTCTCCAAGAAAATTCAGTGGTGCCATCTTGAGAAAAAAAATACAACTCAGCAACAAACAGGGCAGTATCTCACTTTTATTGTAGCAAATATACGGGACCTTTGAATGACAAGATCACTTTCCCAAGGAATTACTAGCAAAAATATCCACAAAAAGTTCAAATAAATAAGAATACATGAATACCAACATCAAAAGCTGGTCTGCAAATCCTCAGTTAATCAAGTTCAGTCCTTCCAGCATGGTCTGTGTATTTTTCAGATGAAAAACCACTAATGCAATGGGAGCAACAAAGGCTCAATACCTTTAAAATAAGGCAAAAAATAGTGCATTCTAGGCAATTTCACACTGTAGAAATTTTATGTATCAGCTCCAAAAAAGCACATACTGGCTGAAAAAACTGCCAAAATTCTCTCGGAATTCTAACAAGATCCTTTAAATAACAAATACAAGGTCAAAATTACCTGAAACAATGAATGAAACACAGAAAGGACATGAACAGTGACAGGATGAGGGCAGATCTCGGAGTCTGGAGTCAAACAGGACAGCTTAGCCCAATGGAATCAGCACATTCCTCCCTGCAGCATTATCCTGCTGTATCCAACTGAAAACGAGGTGGGAAAATTACTGCCCTCAGCATGAGATGCAAGCAATGGAAAAAAAAAGGAATATAGCAAGAGAAAAACAATATTGCTTTAAATATTAAATATTTAAATTTTAAAGGAAAACAGTGTATACATATTAGAGTGAAATTCTGTTTCTTCAAATCTTCTAACAGAGTCATTTCACTGAAAAAAACTGAGTTGTTCGAAGTTTATACTCATGCAACTTGAAACAGAGTCTGGCTATTATTTGAAATACAACCTGAGCATATTTGTTCTGTAGATAATACTGCAGAACACTAAATCTTTACATTCTCTAGCAAAAAAATAAATCACTCTGTTTAAATATCTCACATCACAGTAATCTGTTCTTCAAAAAGCATCACCAGTGCTAGGCTTAGATCCATATGATCATATTGCTAAACCTTGTAAAAAAAAGGCTAATAGCCACACAAACATGGTGCTGTGGAAGTATTTTAAGTAATTCATTTTAAACTGAATGTGTTTGATGGAATAAATCTTTCTGCTCTGTTCAGAAGTGCTTCTAAAGACAATATCCAGCAATACAAAATGAAAGAAATATAAACCACAGTCCTCTTCATAAAAAGAGCTCTTTTCATCTGTAGGCCCAGAACATAGTGAAGATAAAATGGAAACAGGATAAAACCCAGCCCTTGCAGGTCTGCTCAGCCAAGATCTGTTTGTTGAGGCAAACACAGAATTTCTGCTTCTGTGTGTGAACAAAGACAAGCATATCAGAAGTGTCAAATCAATGACAGAAATTAGACTGGTGTGATTATCACATGAGACAAACCTACTTGGCCAGATCCCAGGTGGAGCCCAGTGACAAACATGTTTTCAGACTTCTTTAAAGTGCCATCACCACCTCCACCTGTTTCCCTTCTTAGTCTCCAACAACAGAATGGTGTCCATAAGATGACAAACACGACACTAAAACTTTCCTACTCTGTGACAAAAGACTTTTCCCAGTGCCAATCACCTCTGCTCTGGTCACAGCTGGTTGAAATGGGGTTTATTTATTCTTAAAGTGATTGTGCAAAACGTGCCAGTATCTACATGCCCTCCTTACAACCCAGGAAAGCTTCAATTTAGAAAATTTAGCATACAGCAATATCCAATGTTATAACGACATGCTAAATTACTTACTGCATCTAACAGAATTTGTTTTTAAAAAACTGCTATTCTGATTATTGACTGGATCCTGCTCACCTCAGGTTTGGTGCTTGTAACAGTGAACTAGAACAGTGCAATAAAATCCTGATTATTGGCAAAACAGCTCTCCTATTTTTCACTACTGCTCATGTGAATCAGGAAAACTTGGCTAAGGCAGGCTCGCAGAATTTGGCCAGAGCTTGAAATACTAGCACTGGGTGCAGGAACATTTCATCATCTAAAAAAGTTGAAATACATGAGGCTGGACCAAAACAAAAGGGTGAAACAGCAACACTGGGATGTGCTGGTCCTCTGCAGCTGCTGGTGTTCAGTCCCATCCTGAGTGCCACCACACCTCTGACACAGCCACCTTCTCTGGTCTTTGAGCATCTCAGATTCAGTTTCACTTGAATTGCATAGAGCTGAATGTACATGCAACTACAATTCATATTAAGTGTAACTTCACAAATACTGATTCTGAACATGTAATACTGTCTATTACATTCTTTTCCTTTACCAATTCAAAATTTCACATTTGGTCTCCAGTAGACTAGGAAAAAGCCACTAAAAATATTTCTTAGACTATTCCTGAGCAATATTTTTATGTACTGTAAAATACTACTTTATTACTACATTTCTTAATATTCTCACTTTTCAAACTACATATAAATTCATGCTTTGAAATTTTACAAAGCTGAAGATCTGGTAGGCACAATGAAAGATAGAAACAGCTAAGCATCTTAAAACCAAGATGAGCTCACCAAGAGAAGTGCAATTTAGCTATATACATCATGTACTCTTTAGTATTTGCTATTTTTCATTTTCTATCACAATGTGAAGGATCTTCTTGCAGAATCTGGTCCATCAGATCTCAGCTCACTTCTGAAGATGACTGGGACTGGTGGCTGAGGAGGAAAATACGTTGACCAGAATTTTAAAGTGAAAGTGAGAAACATTATTCAGAATTTCATCTTAACAAGATCCTGTCTCCTGCTGCTGTAATAGATCAAGTGACATTTGAATATTCTCAGAACTTTCCTTTCTCCCGTATCTCAGACACAAGAGAGACAGAAGGCCCAAGGACAGGACCCAATCCTGGTTGTACAATTTTCTACTGCAGGACACTTCTTCATCTCACCTTCCTAAACCTTAAGAAGCCAAGCTAGACTGGACCATAGGACAACAAAGAGTCATCTCAGATGACTAAAAATAGGTATCTTCTGCATCAAAATATATCTTTACTTGAACTTACAACACTCTTTAAATTATTTTTCTCTTAAGAATCTGGTTTTTATGTTTTGAGAGGCTACCAGTTCTGAAAACTAGGCCATACAGTCTCTGCTAAAAGCCTTAGTTTGCATGACTCAAATACATGCATGTGCAATTTGTAATCTGGTCATTTCCCCTAAATGACAAAAAGCATCATGGCCTACAAAATGAACTTCCAGAAAAGCTGTCTGTAAACACAGTGAAGACTCCAGGGTATAAAAATACACATTCCATTTTCTTAATCTGTCATTATTGAAGCTGTCTGGTCCCTAACACTTTGTCTTAAAAAGAATTCTTTCTGCATTAAAATATTTCAGAACGTTATCTCCATTCTTCTTCTTCTCAAAAAAATAATACCTATTTCATCCAAAAATTCCAATTCATCATCTTCTATGAAGAATTAGAGTTGACTTTGCATAGACAACAGGCTCCATTATTTTATAAAAACACCAAAATCAAACCTGTCTTACAAAAAGCACATTTGGGCCAGGAGAAAGAGCGTGGACCCTATTCCCTCACACCCAGCAGGGTAAGTACAAGGACACTCAGCTGGTGCAGACAGGATGTTCTACACTTCTCTAAACTTCACACTGTGCTATTGTTATCTTCATTGAGCAATTATAAATATTTTTGAGGAAAGACCAATGGAAGACATTTGCCTTCAGATAAAACATTTCCTGCTGGTTTAAGATCAAATCTATAGAAATGAACAGTGCTGACTCAGAACCACGTGCCAGGAACATTTTTCTCAGGATCTTCCTATGAAGAAAAAAAATATTCTTCTGCACTGGCCAGATCTTTCCAGCAGTCAAGGCGCACCAACATTCACTAATGAGTTTTCCCTCACTGAAATTTGCGTGGTGTTTGCTTTGTGCCATTTGTTTTTATTTTCCTGTCCACTGTTGGTTTTTTAGGAGGAACATAATTGCTGGCATTGCCATTTTTCTTTGGATTTGTACATGCGTATGTTTTTAAGCCTTTGATGGGAGCAGCTGCACCGTGGAATGCTGGGGTTTGCTTAGGAGGTCTGATGTTACCAACACTTTGGATTTTAGAGCTGCTCTCGGGGGGCTGCAGACTGAGCAGCTGCTGCTTTGCAGCTGGTTTCTTTCTCAGTTCACTCCTTCCATCACCAGTTTGCCTCTGAGAAGATGCACACCCCATTCTCTCAGGAACCTTCAGGTGACCTGCATGGGAACGCGCCTGGCGAGTCTCCTCGGAGCACAGCTCTGCCCTGTGACCCAAACAGCTCCTGGGCAGCCTGGCAGCACTGTCCTGGGGCACTGCCTGCCTGGGGGGCACAGGGCTGAGCAAGGCTTTGCCTTTTCCAGGGCTCTTGAGGGCACGGCTGGGCCCGGGGGCAGTCTGGGGCCGGGCTTTGGTGGCCCTGCCCCTCTCGCTCTGCACCGTCTGCATCTGCAGCCACTCCAGCTGCAGCAGGCGCTCCAGGTACCTCTCCAGGGATCCCGTGGGCTTGGGGTGGAAATCAGCTTTCCCTTCCAAGGTGGCCAGCTGCTTCAAGTCCCACGAGTTGAAAGGGGGTGGCAGGAAGTCGGGGTAGTAATATTCAGATTCTTTAAATCCCATTTCAGGGATGTGTTCCAAACAAACTGGGTCGATTTCTTCGGCTCTGAGGATGAGTTCTGGTGGTGTGCAGGGAGAGGGGGGAATGGGAATCCTTTCTGAGTCAGAGAGGTCACTGGCACTGTCATCTTCAGCATCTTCTTTAATAATTTGTACTGATTCAAAATCAAGAAACATTTCACCTACAGATGCTTCTTGCCATTTGGAAGAGCCTGGACTGGCTTCAGCAATGTATTCTTCG